TCTCTTTGACGAGTTGTTGTATGGTGCTAAAAATGGCGATACTCACTGACGATGCCGGCGAAACGTTTGAAAATGTACCACGTCCACGGTTCGAATTTGGTAACGATCATGCAGACAATGACTCCGGACTAGATGCGTTCCTCTAAGTTTTCCTACCAATGTGACTAAGTTGCGAAAACAAGGTCAAACAAATTCTATACAACGAAAGGAGACAGCGACCACACAATAGGCCACACCATCTTGGTCTTTATACCTTCGTTCATAAATACCTTCAGTTAACGGTTTAGCATCGAAGTTCATCTTGGGAATCTTAATTTATTGTATGAGAAAGTATGGGTTCTTAATATTCTCCATGCATTACATCTAGCTAGAGAAACATAATTGGTAATTGGTTGCGATTTATTTTGCTGGTAAACGTGATATTAAATGCAATAGCTAAAATACATCCAAGAACTTGAATAGACCTTATATCATTTGTTTAAATAGCAATAATAAATTCACATTTGAATGATTTTACAGCAATGCTATTTCTGTTGGCTTGTTTTCTGCGCTAAAACCTGCTAAACGATGACAGACTCTTTTAATAGTATGGCCAGCGGCCTAGTGTTTTGGAAGTGGCCAATTACCAGTTAGGTTACGAGTGAAAATTTAGAATTATCATACTTCTGGCGCATTCTAGCAAGACGAATTAACCTGATAGCAGTAAAAGTTAAGCAGAGGTAATCTTTAAAAATGAATAGAAAATTGATGACTTTTAAAGTACTGCTAAAGAATTGCTGCGCCGAACACATCGGCCCGGACGATAACGTTTTGCATTCATTTGACGTTGACGATGAATGATCGCGGCCGCAGTAGCAGTAACCATAGTTACAATCGGACTTCCCAGAATTAAACCGGAAGATGTTTTGATTAAGCTCTGCTCAAAGGATCCAGTGCTGAATTTTCCTGTGGGATGGGTATAAAAAAGATTATTGGTGCAATATGCGTTAGTTAGGCAGTGATGAGTTATATTAACTTATAAATTTGCTTAACTCTAATGTAGGTGGGTATGGAATAGATGTCCCCAATAAATATGAAATAAAAGATTATCCCTGCAAAAATTAAGAGTTTAGCTGGATTCACTACAAAAACACTGAATAGTTTGATTATCCTTCAAGCATTAAGCTGTATCAAAAAGTGGTTGTGAATCGTACAGACAGGAAAATCAATGACTTAAGGCAGTGGTTCCCAAAGTTTTCCTAATTACAGAGTCCTTTTTTAATTAAAGTTTTTCCATGGCGCCCTACCCTAAGTATGACTATTCGTAAGTAAGAGATATAAATAAATAAAACTCGTGTATCTCTATCATTTTTTTACTTTATTAACACTAAATTAATATTTAATAATTAATGTGATGGATGAGTCTGCAAATCACTGCACATTTTCTCAAATTAAGGCTTTTACAATATTTCGCGGCGCCCTGTAAAGAGGCTGCGGCTCCCCGGTGCGCCGCGACGTAGTTTGGCAATCACTGACTTAAGGTGTCATTGAACTAGGACTTTAAATAAAGTTCCGAAAATTACCATTAGTCAATGTTACATCTTTAGAGATACATTCAAGTATATAAAAGCTTAGCCAGATATTTGACTAATAATAAGAGGCAATCTTAGAACCTGGAAAAAGTCCTAAGTATCCTGAAACAAAGTAGTATAACAGTAAGGCGAATAAAAAAATCCCTAAATGACCGACAAAATTAGCATATTTCAGATAAGCATTTTATTAGTATGATTTTAATGAAAATTGCTTGCTCATCACGTTTCCTTGTGTAAAATCTGAATGTTATCCCGCTGAATATTATATCCTGCATTTAACCAGCAAGGCCACAAGTAAACTTATATACGTAATGTGAGTGCTTTGACTATGTCTGTTACACTACAGTAAGAGCTCACTATGCCTTAATCGCGGTAACGGGACGGCGTGCCAAGGACTTGTTAACATTAAGCTAGAGTCACAACTGCGATAGAATTCCTTTGCGCTAAGAGTGAGGCCAATTTAAGAAACCCTTACACTCGACCTTTCAAACATAAAGAAATGAACAATAAATTTAATTTAATAATTAAATCTTCAAAAAAGGCATATAGAATGATTAAACTTCAACTTCACGAACCTCTCATTTCAAAAGCCACAGTCTCAAAGTATGGAAACTATTGTGATTCATACGAAGTTTAGCTGAATTAACTGGGTTCCCTCGTCTGTTAACTGTATCAGCTCAGTATGGTTTAGGCTTGGAATTAAGCAGCCGAAGCCGTGCCTTTCCCTAGACCATTAAACGTTAATGACTAAGAAACAACTTAGTAATTTGTTATAGCTACTGAGAATCATAAGTGGTAGTTTTATACACTGATTTACGCAAATGTACACAGATTCATACATATCCCAACATAAAAAAGTTCTAGTTGAAATAAAAAGGGACTTAACGAATCATTTGATGTACTCAATATAAGTAGGCTTCGAGACTATCAGTTATTATTTTATGATAACTTAATCACTGTAGATAGTATAAGATGATTTACTGACTGATAGTTGAATTGTCTCAAAAATGAAGGCCTTATGAAGCTAGTAAATTAGTTTAAATAAAATTTAGTTTTTATTCATTTCTGCTAGTAAATTTTACTAAGTCTTGCCTCCAAAAAGTTGTTTTAATCAGATTGGACTACAGTTTGGATCTCGCCCAGACAACTTCATCATTTTCAACATAATTCAACGCCGGGTTGTGTATATAGTGGCAACGTTAACACATTACTCCCTTGCACAACCACGGATGTTAATGGGTCACATGACGCCTTACATCGCCACCTTAGTGAAGCCTCCCCTGATTTGATTGCCTACTTCAAACTTACTCTACATGCTTGCAAATGAGTTAAGTTAACTTCCCGAACTGGAAATGCGTTCGGTTGCAGCTGTTTCATCACACAAAAAGTAACGTACGATCGCCTAATGCTGAATCATGTTTGGACTGGGTAGTATGATATTCCTACGACGCTAATCCAGCCTTCTTCTCTTGCTCTGTGGCTCTTCCTGCACCCCCTCTCTCTCTTTCCTTAAGTCTATCCAACAGCGACACAAAGTTCCTACATAGTTTTCTACACTCATTCAACCTATTCAGAACTTTGGCTGTTTTGTTAATTTCTATATACTCCCGAATATTACGCTTTGAAGTGAAGCCCCCATAACCGGCAAAACGTTGTGCTTTGGACCAGTCTATTGAGTGTCCTGTATTGGCCATGTATTCAGCGAGTTCAGGTCTTTGAACCCACAGACCTCTACAAGCAGTTTTATGTTCGCATAACCTCTTTTGAATGGGTCAGCAGGTCTCCTCCACACATAACTTACCGCATGAGCATATAACCTTGTAACAGCCTGATCTAGAAAGAAGGTCTGAATATTATCTAAGCGAAAGAACTGACCTACTTAAGAATTGTTTTTATGATCCATTTCCTCAGTAGATCACCCAACATTTGCGCAGTGACAGGAAGGCGAAATTTAAAACCGAGTAGAATTGTCCAGTTTTCTATTCCGCGCCGGATACCAAATTTCCTCAATCTTATTAACTGCAATTGATATGTAATTATCTACTAACCCTAATGGGCAATTGTTTTAAAACAGTATATCCCTTAATCTATCAATCTCTTGGTCCCTATGGTTTGTATCTGCTAGACACAGACTCCTTATTATCATAGACTTCATCACGCCTATTTTTGCTTTATACGTGTGGTTTTATTAGAAATTAATAAGGTAATCCGCATGAGTGCTCAATAATGCATCCAAAAAAGACAATTTATTTTCCTTTTCTAACTTCATGGAAAACTTATTTTTTGCATCTATTTTATTTGTTAGTTTAAAAAATTACTCAAACTATTTTCGTCATGTTTCCAAACAGCAAAATTATCGTCCATATAGCGAACTAATAACTTTGGAACTAGGTGTGTCTCTTGAAACATGCGAACTTTTGATTGGGTCATGTAGTTATTAGTTAAAATAGAGGCTAAACAAGATCCCATAGCCAAACTTCGTGTTTGTTCATACAACTTACCATTAAAGGTAAAATATGTATTAAACATTGCCAAATTGATTAATATATTTAATGAACCTTTGCTTAACTTTTTACTTTTTATGATTTCAGGGTGTTGATCTAGAGTTAATTCTTAGTCTGCATTGCTTAGTTTATCAGAATATTAGTGTACATAGAAACTACATCGAAACTTATCAGCAAATCTAATATTTTTATCGTCTGATCATCCACTAACCAAATAAAGTCGTAGGAGTTTTTTTTACTGAAAACTTCTAAGTTTCTGAGATTTTTTTAAACTGAGTACATATAAAGCCTATAAAAAAGCGACTAGGATTGCAGCCGGTCACCTTTTCTCTTGATTTAGTATATTTTTGCTCTATTTTGAAAAGTATGGAGTCTTGCTCTGATGATGCCTGTCACAGTACAGACAAAAGTTTAACACAATTTTATCGGAGTCGTAGGGCGGTGAGCCGAGACTTTTACACAATTCAACAGTCTTATTTAAACGACAATCCCCCTTCGGTTTCCGGTGAGACTACATCACGAAGTTATTCCAACCAACTTTCCATTCGAAATGGAGATTCATGCCGCAATAGAACATAATAGTCATGAATAGTAGGCAACTCACCAGATGAAACAACCAAGTCTGACGAAAGCTGGCCCAGAGTACCAAGACTATCGTCAGTCTCACTTGAATCGATTAAGTGTCGATTTGCTTGACTTGTTAGATAGTTAGCTAACTTGTCTGCTATATTGATAGACATAGGCAGACTTGTCGTGTTTTCCACTGTGGTGCTAGTCTTCATATTTGATTGAGAAAAGGCTGATGTAATAGCATCGACAGTAGTTATCGGAGGTCCTGAAGACCTTGGAAGTCCGGCCACCGTAGAAAGGGCCTTAAGCAAAAGTTTTATAGCACCCAATTTCCCAAGAAGATAGGAATTGATACGAAAAGCTGACATAGAGGAAGCTGATGAGTTTTTCAACAGTGGTTTTGTAGGCTGAAATTGATGCTGATTTGTAGTGTTGGTTGAAACAACAGCAATCCCAGAGGCCAAACATGCATCAGACAAATGATCAGAAGGATTTGGTTTAACTGGTAGATTTTGTCCATCAAAGGGCTGTTTCAACAAGCCTGTATTTCTGAATCTGGCATTACAGGATCCCTCGGTGTATAGGCAAATAACTTGCAAAAGGATAGTCATGTGCCTCAGGACTGATGCGTTGATTGCACTAGTACCATAGCAGCCGGATGTAGCAGCCGTGGGTACTGCGGAAGTAGAGAAAATATTGGAAGTTCCGTTACCAACACGATTCTGTTCTAGACTAGAGTAATCTGAAAAAATTAAATAAAGAAGAATGTCATAATGGCGAAGATATATGTGAAAAGGCACATGTGATGAAACCTAACAGATCCTTTGTAAGGCTTTTGACGTGAAATCGTATGAACCCAACATACGGTGGGCCTCCATCGATGTAACGCTTGATTTTGCCAGTAAGCTCAGAGTTACACAGTCCTCGAGACATTTGTCTAGCAGAAAGGGATAAACAAGTTAATTTCATTCACTCATGAATTCTCAGTCATATCTCATCTATTCGGATGGCTTTCTATTTACTAGAAAGACAAAAGCTCAACATTTTTTTACCAGAATCGAAATGACTTAAAGACTGTATTAGAAGAAGCGTGCCAGTAAAACTAAAATAAAGAGGACTAACAAGGAAGCTCCAAATACGACTGAAAAGTCTTTTGGTAAAACACTTTAACTCGAAATGAAAGCCAGCCAAAAAATCCTGAGTAGTCGAACACTTACTCTTCCCTTAGGACTCAAGGATGAATAAA